TATAAAATATATACGTTATGTATATCTTTAAAAAAACGGGCAAAAGACCTGAAGAGACATTTATCCAAAGAGGACATACAGAAGGCCAACAGACGTGAAAAGATGCTCAACATCACTAATCAGTCATCAGAGAATTGCAAATTACCACAATGAGATATTGCCTCACACTGGTCAGAATGGCCATCAAGAAGTCAACTGACACAAGTGCTCACGAGGACATGGAGAACGGGACCCCTTGTGCACTGCTCTTGGATTGCAAATTGGTGCAGCCACTATGGAAAACGGCGTGGAGGTTCCTCAAAAAATTAAATAGAAACGTAAACCAGCGATTCCACTCTGGGTATTTATCTAAAGACACCCAAAACACTAATTTGAAAAGATACACGCATCCCTATACTCTTTGCAGCATTATTTACAATAGCCAAGATAATGGAAGCAACTTAAGTGCCCATCAATAGACGACTGGACAAAGAAGCTGCGGTACATATATATACACACAATGGAATATTACTCGGCCATAAAAAATGAAACCTTACCATTTGCGACATTGGATGGACCTAAATAGAAGGTATAATGTCAGGGAAAATAAGACAAACACCATGTGACTTCACTTATATGTAGAATCTAAACGAAGAAATTCATATATACAGAGAACAAACTAATGATCGCCCAATGGGAGGGGGGTTGGGGGGATGGGTGAAAAAGGGCAAAGAGATTAAAATGTACAAATTGCCAGTTATAAAAACATTTATGGGGATGGCAAGTACAGCACAGGCAGTAAAGTCAGTAATATTATAACTGTGTGGTGTCAGATTAGTACCAGATTGAGGTGATCACTTTGTAAGTTATACATCTAGTAACTACATTGTACACCTGGAACTAGTATAATATTGTATGTCGACTGAAAATTGAAAAATAAAATATTTTAAAAAATAAATGTATTTTACATTACACATAGAATTTTACTGAAAGTAGAAACACATAAAGGGCCTCAGGTTTCTTCACAAA